TCAAGTCGCCCAGCGCTTGGTTGGAATCCAGCCTTCCCTTAATGGAATTCCTGAAAGAGATTTATTAATGGCACATTCCACTCATTTTGGCCAGCCTGTCATGACAGGCCTTGTGGAAATTAAGAGAAAAAAAAAATACTTGAATTTGAGAAGGGTGTTCAAGCTCATCTTTATAGCTTAGAAGCAAACCAATACAGATAATCTGCCATGGAGCCGCCCAGAATGTTTAACTCCTTCCTGGCATTTGGCAAGGATGAGGTTGGAGGGCTGGATTTCAAAGTGGGAGATGCTGTTCCATTCCATCAGAGTGTTACCATGTTGAGACAGCGGCCTGGCTCAGGAATAGTAAAGAAAACTCTCTAAAGCCCCAGATACGATTACTTTTGTTCTCAACCTGAGCTTCATCACAAGGTAATCTTGGGAGGTGTATTTAATCTCTAAGAATCATGTCACCTGTTTGTGTGCACGCACGCCATACACATCAGCGTCTCCTCTCTGCTGAGGGGACAGGAGGGCTAGGGCCTCTGCAAAGGACTAGGACCTTCCTTTATGCGTCCTCGTGATGGCAAAGGGTGCTTGATACACAAGCAGGTCAATTCAAAGGAAGGTAGGTCAGCGTTAACAGTCAAGGCAACCCCTAATGGTTTTGTAGGATGGGGTGAGGCGCATCCATGCCATGGTGGTCCAGGGGTGTGCCCACCTCAGCATCACATGCTTACTAGCTTCCTTGTTGGTCTTGGCCTCAAATCCCGCAGACCTGCTTTCAAGTCCCACCGTCTGTGGTTCTGCGACCTGGGCTCTGTCTCTGAGACTCATGTATTCCACAGAGAGAAAGGGCAGAATTGGCCCCTGCGCCAAGTGAACTGAAGACCTGCTCTCATTTTACAAATGGAAACTGTGCTGGTCTCCTTGAGGGGCCCCATGATCCAGAGAACCCCCAAGTACTCCACTTGTCCATGTGACCACTCACGTCCTAATAAAAAAGAGACCCTGTGTGAATGGGCTCTGAGAGCAGAAAGTGCTATTTACGTGTAAAATCTTCTCATCACCACCACCCACACCTTCTAAGAATTCCATGATGCGGACTCTCTTCTTAATGAGGGGGCCTCAGTGTTACCAATGTAATGTCTATCTTACAGGAGGCAAAAGGAGCTTGAAAAGTAAGTGACACTGAGGCGTGTGGGAGGACAACTGAGGCAGATTGTTCCAATGTGTCCCCTGACACGATAGTTGGTGTGACGGCACCGAAGTCCATATTGTTCCAAATCCTTTGCCCCATCAACTTATGCTACGCGCGTGAATTCCTTGAGGGAAAGTAATTACTGTATGAGAAGCCAGTGAGGTTATCCTTGGGGTGTACTTTCCCCTCCCGAGAATAGTTCCTTTCACAATTATGCTCTCTACTAGGAATCTATTATATGATCCAGTTTTTCCTCCAAAGGCATCATTAATCATATGGTGGAAATGGAACCACAATTGAAAATACAAGATGTTTTGTTAAATGCCATGTTCAATGCTTGGCAATCGTCAAGCTCCAGGATTTTAAAGAATCAGTGCATGACATCTCCTTAAAAATGCTGCTGTTGATCCACTCATCACCTTTCTTCTAAGGATTATGAAGCTCTCTTTCTCTAAAGTCATTATGTAGGAGTTTATGTTATTATTCTAATCACAATGCCGAGCTTTGCTACAGCATTCGATGTCGAGTTTGTGTCATGGCACCGTGTTCTGGGAGAAATCCTGTGAGAAGAGGCTTTCCCTGGGATTTACTGGAGTGGTCCAGTGTCTTTGCGATGTAAAGAAGTCCGGACTAGGAGTCAGACAGCTGGTCCCAGAGTTGGCTCTGACCTTGAGCAAACCATTCCTGCTTTCAGGCTCCTGCTTCCTTCACCTCAAGACTACTCTCGAAACCGCCACAGCTGCATGCTCTGAGAGGCCACTACCCCTCCTCCAGGCCATGGCGTCCAGCCCCAGTGTGGTCATTATAAGGAGCTCAACACGTAAAGGTGAATTTTAAAAAATTAAAAACTTGATATGGACAGCAAAACTAATATGGTGACAGCAGTAAGAGAAAGCGCTCCTGCCCCCAAGGCCGGTCTCACTTGGCGGCACACGGAGGTGATGCCAAATATAGGATTGCCACAGTGAGAAGAGGGAGATGCAGAGAGCCACTGGGATTTGACTTCCAAGCTTCACCTAATCATGGCTGGGACTGAGACAATCGCCAGTGATCAGAAGGACAAAAGCAGGAAAGATAAGACCCACGTGGAAGGGAAAGGAGACAGACCCCATGAAGGAGAGGGCTCGGAAGCTGACAAGGAAGGCAGGGACCCGGGTGGGAAAGAAGCAGGTGGCCTTGACATGTACCACCCAAAGGACCCCCTCTGGGCAGCCGCGATGCCTGGGTCCAGAGTTAACACTTTTATTGTTTGTCCTGGGGGTGCTCCTTTGTTGGGTAAACATGGTCCCAAGTTCTGAGCCAACTGAATGTAGCACTCCAGACCCCACTGGTGACAAGGACGCAGTAAGCAGCTACCTCCCTTCCTCGGGAAAACTCTAGCTTTTCCTGGATGCAGCCTCCAGTCTAATGGGCACCGACCCACCCAGCAGCAGCAGTGCAGGCCCTGCGGGCACCGAGCCTCGAGGAGCACTGCTCCCCTGTGGCTACAGGGACCTTGGCCCCGTGGGCCCTGTGCCAGGCACGGCATGAGCACCCAGTCAAACTACAGAGTTAGAAATCCCCGCCCCAAGCCCAGGCCGGCCTCCCCAGCTCAGGCAGACGGGCAACAAGCCTCTTAACCACTCAATCTCCTTTTCCATTTAAGGAGAAGGTGGACAAGCATTTCCCACCCTAAGGTTTTGCTAGAGTGAAAAACCATCTACATTCTGAATCGCAGGGTACCAAGAACAAAGGAAATGGGGGGCCCGTGGGGGAGGAAGGGCAGGGAGGGCAAAGCAGACACAGGTGCTGCTGCTGAGGGGAGGCTGGGGAGGAAGTCAGAGAAATCAGGCCTCGCTGGTGGAGAAACCAGCAACTGGGACACACCAGACCTATCCTGCCTGTCTTCCCCTCTGGCCCTAGCCATCTCTGACTCACAGGCAGGTCCCTCAGGGCTCAGGGCTCACTTCCTACTCCTTCCCTCCTGAGCCCACAAAGGTTACTACAGGGCAATGCCTACTGGTGGCCGCCTGGGCGGAGCTTCCAAGGTTGGCCCCTCCCTCATTACCTCAGAGGCCATCACCATGGGCTAACTTTGACCAGTCCTAACATTTAGAGAATAAAGGGTTGACAAGTCACAGAGTTGCCTAGGAAATGATACTGTTCACTTGCAAACACCAGGCCAGCACCTGCTGTGTTGGATTTCAAACCAAGATTCTGCCACCATTTTCACATGTTTGCATTTCCACATTGCAAGCTATCTTCACTTTAGAGGGTACCCATCCAAGCATTTCAACCATCATGACAACATTTCCAAAGCCACACGTGACAGATGGACAGAAACTGATTTGTGTCACTCACTGGGTTGTCACTATTTGTCTATATAGACAAATCAAAGCAAAACATAAAAGGCCCTCCTGGTTACTCTGTGCGTTTTTTCGGTAAAATCTTTTTACAAGTTGAGAAGGAAAAGGCTATAACCCTATACTGAAATTTCAGTAGGCTCCAACGAGTGGGCTCCACCCTGAGCCGGGCACAGAATTTCTTTCTTAACAAGACAGGCTGGCATACTCTGAAAATGTAAGTGTCAGATAACAATGCTGTACGGTCAGCCGTTGAAAAGGTTCAGGATCTGTTCCTGGTTGTGTAAACGGACACAAAGTCATCTAACAACCACTTGGCTCACAGGTGCCAGGGACCAGTCAATCAAAGTTCTAAAACTGTGGTTACAAGAAGTCCAGAGTGGCCGCAGCAGCAGTCTCAGCCGCTTAGCTTCAAGAGAGCAGGAAAAGAAAATGAAGGTAACAGAGAAAAAAAAGAAAAAGAAAAAAAAAAAAAGAAAGTGAGTCTTGGTGGGTCTTCTTTAAAAAGAAAGGCTGAATGTAGATTTAAGTTGAGAGTCTTAAAAAGTTAAGACTATTCCAGTGGTACCCGAATCACTTTGTGAATTGTTCCAAATTCTTCATAGATTTTTCAAGTTGTTTTAGATGATTCATTAGAAGCTAAGGACCATTGTTTCCTGGCAATGTCCTGAAAGATGGATGGATGGGTGCAGAGAGCAGAGGGAGATGAGGAGTAAGTTCCACAGGAAGAAATGTCAGGCTGGAAAAAGATATACCGGCCCACAGAGGCATTGACTCTATACACTTTGAAAATCTAAAGTTGGCAAAGGAATATCCAGGTAGCTAAGAAAACTCAAAATATCGTCCGTGGTCAATTCCGGCTAACACCCGGCGGCCAACCCCTGTGCTGTGTGGCTTTCCAGAGACCTCCAGAGTTCTATCCTCTCGCCTCTTCTATTTTATTTCCATGGCTCATTTGACTATAGTTTATTTTTAGCCCACCAATACCACCCAAGAGACAGTCCTTTCAAGATCCTCAAATGCAAATGATTGGTTTCCTGAGAAGTCACTGTAGGTCACTGGATACTTTTTAATACTTCAAACTTGAGAGGGAGCACCTGTCTTCCATTTTTCTCTGAAACACTGAAAAACAGTCCCATCCTGAAAGACTAACTTCAGTGAACAGCATCCACTAAAGGGGACCCTCTGTGTGCACGCCGGAAGCCAGCGCACATGGACACTGGTCGGCTTTGTGAAATTCTTTGTGATCATATCAGAATTTAAGAGCCACCGTGAATCTTGAGTCATCTAAGCCAGCCTGTTCATATTATAGGTGAGACAAAATCAGGCATAAAGCAACTAAATAAACTGGCCACCACAGCAACGGAGTGGAAAGAACGCTCGGCTCCCAGCTTCCAGACCCGGATTTCCCCAACAACCTGCAGCCTCCTTCACAGCTCCTCCGGCCTCCTAACACACACACAGCAGCCCCTCCCTACCTTTCTTCTTCCACCAGGGACCCTCTGGGACCGAGTAGGAGAGGTCCTTGAATTCGATGTTCACAGCCGCCCTCCGAGGCAAGGAGGAAAAGCGCTGGGCTTCCGTGAGGTTGTTGTCCACCTTCTTCAGATGTCCATTCAGCAGGTCCGTCTCGGTGGCCTCCATGTTGCTGGAGACCACCTCATCCACCGAGACGCACACCGACTTGGGCTCCGTCATCGCTGCAGAGTAACTGCTGGCGTTCTAGAAAAACGGGAGGAAGCACCAAGAGAGGTGGTGAGTTACATCAAGGGAAAGAGCACAAGGGGCTCGCCATCAGGCTCAGGGTCTTGATTATTCATGGCAACACGTCTTGATTATTCACAGCAAAATACGGGCAGCCTCGCACGAGAGGATAGGTGCATACCTGGAGGAATCTGTCATCTCTGGCCACCACTTTTTCTTCTATTAAAACATGCTGAAGATACAATATTAAACTGATCTACCAGTCCTAATTTGGAATCATAAAATCTCATCACAAAGCTGTAATAAATGAATCACTTGTCTGAAAGAATGAAACGTCGCCACCATAAAAAAATTATCCAACTACAGTCCGCTCATTAAAAAACCCAATAAAGATGCATCAGGCTCCTAACAAAGGTATAACTGAAAAAGTTTTATGGAAAGTGAGCTCTTGTAGGGCCTTCCTTGTGTCACCTTCCTTGTGAGCATTTCTCAGTAGTAATGACACCTCTTGAACTGCTAGGTTTTATGGGAGCTGGCCTTCAGATCCTCCTTGTACATTTTCCAAATCACTTACAACTCTCTTCTCTCATTGTATTTCCACTGCAGCACTGAAAATTTGGAAAGGTTGATTTTTTTTCCCTCTCTTATACAGACGAGCAAACTGAGGCACAGAGAGTTTAAGGAACTTGCTCTGAGCCCTACAGTCAAGTGAGGGGCAGAAGTGAGCCCAGAATTTGAGTCATTAAAAAAACCCAGTCAGGTGTTCCTTCCACTGCATCACCAGAATCCCTAATATATTGGAGCTCCTTTGGCTTTTAAAGCTTCCATGGGGAGCCAACTGAACAGTTAGAGATGTGCCAAGAACCAAAAGTATTTATGCAAAGAAAGGAATATCTTTTACTAATGGCTTGGCAACCCTGAGCGAATCAATATGCTTCAGGTACCTCCAAAATACAGAAGAGCCCTGGGCTGGACAAATGTTATGCTGTGCTTTCTCTCGCTGTCTCTTGAATCAAGAGAGAAGGATCCACGGTGCCAAAAGCATGGGCCTTTGGCAACATCCTCCATCCTGCTGAAGGCGGTCTGCCTAGGTGGGAGAGCCCGTCGAGAACCATCTCCGATCACTCAGGCCCTTGCAAGTGCTGTGGGATGGGGAGACACTGCTGTGTTATTTGTTCTAAAGAGGGATAACATCGGACTGTTATTTTTCCATACATTTATGAGGTATTTCTTTAGAGTTGAGAGCTTTTGAATCATTATTGTTTCTAATCAAAAATCCAAAACAAAAGCAGAGACTGGGTCATCCAAAAATATCCCTATAGAACCCAGAAACTCTAGCGGCCACAAGGAGCCCTTCCCGCATGAGAACGCCCTCCAGAGGGTCCGCGACCATCCTTGAAGAGCTGGCATTATTTCCATCATGGTCCTTAAGGGCTCAAAAACCTTGGAGGGCGTGGAGGTTTTGAGTATTTAAAACACAAATAGGGAGATGGGGAGATGTGAGCGTAGGGGCTTCTGGTTCTTGGGATATTTGAAAATGTCGCTTTGCCATAGAAGAAAAAGGCACGCGTGCACACACACACCCCTCCCGGCATCTCCTACCTCTGAGAAGCTTAACCGAATCAAAACTTAGCTCACCGTCTATAACATTCTGTGGATAAAAATTACAGTGCAGAGTAAAATTCTGGCGGGATTAAGCTTGGTTGCTGCTGGCCTCCAGCATGTGAGATGTTTCAAATGCAAACATAAGGAGCTTCACACATTCCCAGCAAAGTCGCGGAAGGTTTGTGTTAGCTAGAACCGGGATGGGTGTGAGAACGTGCCTCCCCAACTCCCAAGAGGGAGCCCCAGGACATCGCCTCTGCAGCTGAGCTCCCCCAGGGCTTTCTGTGTTGGGGCCTCGTAAGGAGTAATAGGAGACCCTGACTCGGCTCAGCGTGTTGGCCGACAGGGAAAGAGTGTGCAACTGCAGCTCCAGCCCCCACAGCGGGCACCAGAGGCCAGCCCCTTGCCCACCTATCCTGCCCTTTGGGGGCACGAGCTGCCGCCCCAGGTTCATAACCCACTCTGACTCCACAGGAGCCCCAGAAGCACCAAACCCTGGCTTTGGGGGGTAGTGGAGAGAGCAGTGGGCAAGACAGTTAGCTCCAGGCCTGGTCCCCAAAGTCTGTTCTCACCCCCACCTTGCCACCTAAGTGGAAAGGCTAAACATCTGGTTCCAAACCCACATCCTGCTGGAGGACTTGCACTGTCCCGGGAATTCCCAATCACTGTGAGCTGAATTGGGGGTGGGGAGCATCAGCAACTCCTCTCCAGTGGCGGCCCCCTCGACCTCACCCCAGCATTCCAGCTGCCAGGGATCATCCGTACGCTCCCCCAGCACCCACCAGAGGTGTCAGCACCTGAGGAAGCCCAGGATATTCCCGGCTTTCCTTTTTGATGAAACCCACATGAATACAGGGAGGGAGAGTCATGACTCCACGCACCTACTGACCATGGCAGGTGCCAGACCTGTATGATGATGAGGGTCTGACTTTCCCCTCTAGATTCTAACCTTTCTATTCTCTCACTCACTCACTCACTCACTCATTCATTCAACAAATTGAGAACCAAATAAAGCCCCGGGGGTCAGTAGTCAGCCAGAAAGACATGGCCTGTGGCCTCAGCAAGCTCATGTTCGAGGTCGGGGGCAATTACAGTACAGTGAAGCAAGAGCTATAAGGAGACCACGCAGAGACCCGGAAGGGACTGCTGAGGCAGCGTGGACCCTGGGTGGGGGCACACAGCACAAAGTGTTTCTGAGGAAATAAAATCTAATCTGAGATTAGTGAGGTGGTGGAGGGGGGGCTGGTTCACGATGCTTCCTGTGAGGGAACAGCATGTGCAAAGGCTCAGCAGCAAGAGTGAGGGGAATATTCGGAGATGTGAGAGAAATTCAGGGGCTGGGGCTCCGATCTGGAGAGGTGGGGAGGGCAGGAGGGGAGGGGGCTGTGGAGAAAGATGAGACCAGAGAGACACACAGGGTCCCCATGGAGAAGGGCTTGCACACCTTGTTAAGGGTTTTGCACTCAATCTCGAGGTCTTTGTGGGGCCACGGAGGGCTCTCAAACCGGGAAGTAACGGACCAGAACTGCATCTCTTGCAGCAACGTGCAGACGGGAGGGGGGCAGTGGCCTTAACCAGTTGGTGGCAGTGGGGATGGAGACAAATGGACAGGCCAGAAGGACAAAGCTGGGTGACTAAACTGATTTGGGGGAGAAAGAGAGAGAGAGGAGGCAGGGTCAAGTACCTACTATTTAAAGTGTTAAATGCTAGCACGTCCTGCCTACGAGGTAAGTGATTATAAGCAACAGTTATAATGTGCCCATTCTGATTACTACTGATTCAGCAGTTACAATGCCCCCATCAAACTCCAGTCTGCAGAGATCATGCCTCTTACTATCTCCACAGCTCTAGCAGGAGGTATTATATCTCCCCTTCCTCCAGCTCAGAGGAGGGAGCTAAGGCATAGAGAAACTGCCCCGCCTGCCCTGGACCCCTTGGTTAATGAGCAGCCAAGCCGGGGTCCAGCTCTGTGCACCCTATTCTCCCAGCCAGCATCCTTAACAGCACTTGAACATTGCTTAGCTTTCCCTAGGCAAGTTGTAGGTGACCCTGGCTCATCCTAGCCCCTGTCCACTGCAGGGAAATCCACAAGAAACTGAGGAAACCATACATACAACCCCACCCCCAAATGACCTGACTCCAAAGCAGTGCCTACCACTAGCCACCTTTCCTCCAGGGCTGTCCAGCGCCTCACTCAATTAATAAAATCATGCAATCCTGTATGATGGGAGGCAGTGCTGTCACTCCAAAATAGACCAGCTCTCTGGAAACGCATCCTCAGATGAAAGTGGCCAGCAATGTAGGTTACAGCGAGTTTGTCCTTAGCCTCCTGAGCTCATTAAAAATGAAACAGATACAGCTTCCTTCCCCATTTGTCCCTTTCATTGAATGTTCCCCTATCTTACCGAAGCGTTGTCTTTGACCTCCCCCCCTCCACACACACTTTGTGCTGCATAATAAATGGTAAATAACGGTAAGTCCATTCACAGGTCTCGAATGCCAAGGAGACCCTATTTGGATTGTTCACGAGAATATTTTCTTGCTCCCTGACTTCAGTTTGAATGCTGGGCATGTAGAGATGCCCGGTCAGCTGGGGAGGGTCACTAACAGTCAGCAAGCCCCCCAGGCCCTTGTGAGGCTGGGTCACTCTATTTACCAGGGAAGCACGGTTAGAGAGAGAAACTTTTCCTCACAGCATCAAGGAAAGGCAGGAAAGAGAAGAGGAACGCAGCCACCAGACATGGGCATGCACCTCTCTCTCACGTCTCTCCTCGGTTCATGGCCGCCAGCCTTGGTGCCCACCTAGAGCAGCAGACCCTTCAATTGGAGGGAAGATCCATCCCTGGTACCCTGGTTACATAAGGTGAGAACGCACTGGCTGAGAATCCTCAAGGCCACTGCCTTTAGGAAAATAACCCAAATGGCACGCCCTTAACTAAGCGAAGGGAAGATGCCACTTGAGTGGCCATTCAGAATACTGACCTCACCATCACCAAAACCCCGCTTGAAACAGCTCCAATACCACCATCACATTGGGAACCTGTGCCCACTCCTCCCAGCCCAGCTCAGGGATGCCAGCACCCCATCTGGGTGCTTCACTCTCCAGGGCACTGTCTCACACCCGGCGGTCAGCCCTGGGCTGGACCCAGAGCAGGGGGCAATGGGGAAGCAAAGCTCAGGATCCTGGGGAATCTCTCAAGGCCTCTTTGTTTATGAATTGGGTAGAGTTTTTTTAATTAAAAAACAAACAAACAAACAAGGTTTTCAGGGGTGGGAAATGATTTTCACAGAAGACAACGTCCCCTGAAAAGATGCGCCCAGCCATTAGCATCTCCACGTGAACGAAACACTCCAGTTCTGGGGCTGTATCAAACCATAACGTAACGTAATCTTGACATTAAAAAACTCTATACCTTAAAACATAATGATTCATTCTTTTTCCACATGTCTAAGCCTCTTTTGCAGCTCTGAAAGGACTTCAAGAGTAACCCAGCATCTCAAAGATACGAAACTTTCTTTATCTACAACTAACAATAATAATCTCCCTAATTTTCCATTATCAACATAATTTTAGAATCCCAAAGACAGGAACAAATGTAAAAGGAAGAATTGCCAAGTGTTACACAAACATTCAACCAGATAAGAGCAAATGTTACGATGAAGGGATTGCCTTTCTATTTTTTTCATCCTCTCTGATGCGTAAGAAGCTAAGTAATAAAGGCAGAGTATGCCCAGAAATGAGACCTGACCCTGGCCCTCCCTGGCCCTACCAACCTCCTGGACGTGTCTGCGGCCCCATTCTATCGGTTTACACAAAATCATTATATAATGAGCTGGCGAGGGTGGGTATGTTCCACAGTAACCTGTTTGCAATCACAGGATGCAGTTGTCAGAGCTGAGCATGCGCAGAAACTCAGCTACTTTTTTTTTTCTTGAGCTCAAGGCAAGAGGTAACTGTCGGTCAACTCCCGCTGAGCCCTGCTGACTTCAAATACAGGATGCTAAAAATGAAATAAACGCGAGGGGTGGGGGTGAAAAGCCGGTGCTTGCTGTGCGCTGTGGGCTTGCAGCCTACGGGGAAGAAACTAGCAGGATAGTAAATACATAGGCGACAGAAAGAGGGATGGATAGGGTGGGCGAGATGGGCTGGTATACGAAATATTTTCTATTTGGACTTTAGATGGGCTGAAATCTGGTCAGTAAGTACCTATGTTGGTGTGCTGGGCATGGAAACGAAAGGTCCTGGGATGGGTGGGTCATGGTTAGTTTGTTTTTCCTAAGGTGAGTTTACGGAGCTATTATAAATGAGCAAGAGGAGACTCTTGACCACCCCTGGGAATAGCACTTGCTGTAACGGTGTCTAGCAATGAATTCGCCGGTACTCGGTGGTCCCCCTACGCAGCTGGTACCCTTGGGAGCAGTGAGATGCGCTCCTCTGTCCCCACCCTGGTCTCTCTCCAGGGTGCAGAAAGGTGGCCTGCAGGTATCCAGCCTCGCCCCTTGTCTGCCTCCCTAGACTCCACCGCCTCCTCCTAGAGCAGGTCTAGGAGAGGCTGTCCCCAGGGAGCGCAGGGGCAGCGCAGACTCTGGTTGTCGGAGGGAGCAGCTCCCTCTTTTGTTCCCCTGGACCGTGCCCGGCATTCCGGAGGGTGGCGCGAGAAGTGCCCGCTCCCCCGGCCCGGCCGTGCGCGCTGGCAAAGGGATTGGATCCCCTTCCCGCGGGCGCGGGCTGCCGCCCTCCCCACTGCGCTCTCGGACCCAGGCCCCACGCCCCTCACCGGGAGGCAGACGAGGTCAAGGCCATCTGTCCACTTACGGGGCTGCCGGGGGCCTCCCGCCCATTCCTGGCCCCTCCGCCTTCCCCGCGTCCTCGGCCGGTGCAAAAAGCAGCCTGAGGGGCCAGGCCGGGGCGGGGGGCGATGGGAGGCGGGCGCCTCCCCGGAGACCCAGGGGCGGGTGTCAGGGTGAAGGTGCGGGTCTTTGTGCGTTTCTTGCTTTCCTGGAAAATAGAACCAAGCCCCGGGGAGGAAGGATGCTCTCACTCACCATGGCGGTGCCGACCGAGAAAGCGGCCATCAGACAGGCCATGCCCCGGGGGCGGCGGCGGCAGAGGCGGCGGGGACAAGACTGAGGGCGGCGGGGACGGGCGTCGGGCACGAGGCTGCGCTCGCTCCTGCGCCCCGCGCGGCTCAAGCTCCAGCTTCTGCTGCCGCTGGGGCTCCCGCCCCGCCCCGGCCCCGCCCACGCCCCGCCCCGTGGTAGCCACGCCCACTACCGCCCGCTCAGGCCCCGCCCACGCCCCGCGATTGGCCGGTGCACGGGGGGCGTGGCCAGCAGGTACGCGTGCTCTTGTTTTGCTCCTGCTGAGGGCGGCCGGCCGGCCTCGGGCGTTCCTGCTCCCCAGCCGCCTGCGCCCCTCTCCAGCCCCTGAGACCCCGAGTCCAGAAACTCGCGGGGGCTGGGCCAGCAGCCATGGGCACCCGATAGACAGAGGGGTCCATGGTCAGGGAGCAGGCCACCTCCAAGCCTGTGTGGCTGTCAGATGGGGCCAGAGGGGGCATCAGGGGAAGGAGGGTGGAGGGGCAGGAGGTCTTCTCTTTTGTTGTTTTCATTTTCGTTGTTGGGCACCTCGTGAAGCGTAGGAGCGTGAGGACTAAAGAAGAGACGCTCCTTCCAATGCCCCTCACACACACTAGAGCTCCGTATCTTGGGTGACCCCCACACTGAGACAACGCAGGCACTCAGACATGCAACGTTGCTGTGGCTAGGGGCAGAGCTCAACGTTGGGTGACAAAGGGGCGCTAGGTGAAGACGCTCCGGCTCTGTCCTCCCCCCGCCCCCAACCCCCACCCTAACGAAAAAAGAAAACACTTGTTTTTGCAGAGGTAATGTTTCCAGTGCCTGGCCCAGAGCTATGTTCGTGTAGCTACGTAAGGAATGACACTCCAGGCACCCTCTCATTTGGTCCCAGACTGGAATATCAGATGGCCTGGCGTCTGCTAGAGCCCTTATTATACATAAGTGGGACCATTTCCTGGTAACCATGGTGACAAGACATTCTTTACTCCCAGTCTCAGAGGCTGGGTAGTTTGTATGTTGGAACGGCACACAGGAATGCAATTCTTCTCACCTCCAGCACACCTAGGTCAGCCCTCTCCACCATACCATGAATAAGGGAAGCCCCTGTCTCTCTCCTCACCTTGACAGGAGACACAACTTTTCATGCCGGGCAGGTGGACCTCACACCCACAGGTCTGATGACCGTAGCCAAATTCTCCCCTCAAAACGAAGGAAGGGAAGGGGGTGTGATGCATGAGTTCAAGGCAGAGAGGGCCGTGCTTGTGTCTGAAGAATTTCACTTGAAGAATCGATGTTGACCTCTCTTCTATCCTTGGCCGTGACCTAGGCAATCTGACGGCTGTATTTCCAGGTGCCACTTTCTGCGTGCTGGGCCCAGGAGGCTGTGTGGTGCCTTAAATGTACTGAAGAGGGAGGCCGGCAAAGCCCGAATGTTCTAGAAAGAGGATTCAAATCCACAAACCTCCTGGGGAGAGTTTAGGCCAGAAGACAGAGGCAAAGGTGCCTCATCTCTGGGGCCCAGGGCTGGTGGCCCGCCCTGCAGCCCCCCACTTGCTCCATGGGCAGACAGGACCTAAAGCAGGAGAGGAAGACACAGAACACAGCTGGGAGGGATTCTCCTTGAGAATCCAGCTTGACACTGCCCAGCTGTGTGGCCAGGGCTGGTGACATGACTGACATTGTGGTCCCATGGTGCTGGCATCTGTTCTCTGTCCAGTGACCATTGTCCTCACCCCCAGGAATGTGTCCAGAATTCCCTTCTGGACATCACCCCTGCCCCCTAGTTCTGTGCCATGTGATTTGTAGCAGTGGTGGGTCAGGAACTGGAGGTGTAAGGCTCCTGGGAATGGCCAAGGGGACAGTGTGTGGAACCTGAGGAGGAAGCCAGAGAGGGAAGACAATGATAGAGTGGGTCCCTGTTGGTGTGGCTTGAGCTGCTGGCTTTTCTGTTACAGGCTACCGAAAAAGTCCTCACTCATGTATTTGTACTTTGGGGTAATAATAATCTCAGCCACGTGAGAATTAGTGCATTTCCGGCACTTTCCACCGTGCATGGCACATAGCAAACACTCTAATTCTAATCCTAACTCGTGTTATCCCTCTTGTGCCAAATGAGGAATAAGCAAATGGTATAGTTGGTTAGATCCATGATGTTAATATCAGGGCTTGTGGTTGTGAGTGACAGAAATCCAACTCCAACTGGCTCAAGCTAAAGGGAATGCATCGTCTTAGGAAACAGAAAGGTTGGAGGTGTGCTGGTTTCAGGCCTTCCAGGGCAAGCAGCCACACTGTGTCCCCAGCCTTTGGTCTCTAGCTCTCTCCGTGCCTCTGCTTTCCATCTGCTGGCCTCCCCCTCAGCTAGGCTGTCTCTGCAGCCCCAAGCTTCTATCTTATCAGCCCACCTCTGTGCCCAGGGGGCTGCCAAACACCGATGGGCCAAGCTTCAATCACATGGGCCAAATAGGCCAAAGGGGAGGTCAGCCCCAATGGAACCCTGGATGCTTTGCCAAGGCCATTTTGGGGCACTCTGAACACAAGTGTGGTTGCCAAGCAGGCAAACACAAGAGCTCATCACAGCGCTGTCCAGACCCCAACCCCAACAGGGATTTCTGCCATGACATCACTGATCGGGGGCTAGGCTGGACTTGGGGGTTTCTGGTGGGGAGGCATCTTAACAGACAGCCGCTCCAGTATTAAGTAGCTGTCATTGCTAGCAAGCGGTCCCTGTGCCTAATCGGATGCCCTGTCACCTTGAGTGCTCTCTGTTCCACAGTCACATAGAGTCAGCGCCTCCTCCTCATGATAGGCCTTGAGCTATTTAATCATGGTGCCATATTTCTCTCCAGGCCTTCACTTCTCTGAACCGAACGTCCCTGGTCCCTCCGATATTGCTTCATAGAAGATGCTCCTTCCTTCTCACTTTTGTCTGCATGAGTTCTGTTTTCTCGGTGTACCTTGTGAAGCTTGGGGTCCCCGGTGAGGGGTTACAGGTATGTCAGATGTCTAGGAGGGCTTGTGGGAGGCCTGTGGACTGACCCAGGTAAATTCTTTGGGGGAGCCAGCCACAAGGGAGGGGGCTGGCTTGGCATTTTGGATTGCCCCACCCCTGGAGGTCCCTAACAAAGGTCTGGAGCCCTCCAGAGAGACCTTTGAGGACATCCCATGGCTTCTCAGTTGTCTAGGAGGAACTCTGATAAATGTATTCTTTATTAATACAATCTTCTTCACATTTTGGTGGTTTGGCTCTCAACAATTTGACCTTGAGCCTGCTTTGATTACAGAGTGGCCAGCTCTTAATTAGCCTAAGTGGACCCCACTTGGCTGACTTTATTCTGCTCAACTACAGAGCTACTCCAACTGGAACTTTGTTTTCCACAACCTGGGATTTCAGCCGCGTGTTCAGCAGATGCTCAGAGACGGGCTGCCGTGCCAGGAACTTATCCCAATGCTGGGAACACACACGGTGGACAAAATGGACAAAACCCAGGTATAGTCCGACAATAATGGGAAGAGACTGGAAAGCTGAAGCTCTTCTCTAGATCAGGTATGTTCTTAACTTGTTCCATGAGCTTAATATATTTTAGAGATAATTCTTGGTCTAAGCTAGAGGATTCTTGCTATGTAGTTTCAGGGAGAGCCGTCCAGAGGCAAACCGGCAACATGTGGGCGTCCTGGTCCTCCACAGTCCTGCCATTTTGGAGTCAACCCTGCAGGTGTCCCACCCTAGGTACTTGATATCTGCAGTTGCATCCCTCTCAAACCACCGCATCCCCAGTGCTGTGCCCTCTTGTAGTCTGTGCATCACATAATCAATTTATTGTTGAGTGTCCTCCACTCCCCTCTGGAATGTAAGCTCCCCATGGGCAAGAATGACTGTCCACTGATAGATCCCAGCCCTGGGAACATTGTCTGGAAAAAGATTTTGTCCAAGCTCATTAAATCGATGAGCTGAGGCCCCACTCTGGGTCCCTCTGGCTCCCTGACCCAGGCCATTTCCTGCATGCACGAAGCCCCCAGTGTGGACAAGTGCCTGCCCTGCGTGCCACGTTCCATCAGGGGAACCTCTCCCTCATTTGACACATCACCATTTCATGGAAGAAGGCAAAAAACTAAAGGAGCCTGGTCCCCCTGCCCCCTCTCCCCAGCTCCCCTCCCACACATTGACCACTGTGCATGGCAACATGAGGGTTTATGGGATTTCTTTCCCCAAAGCCTCAATCAAACTCGACTTGGGAGGCGATGGTGGAGGGCAGTGTTTGCTTGCTTGCTTTTGACAAGCCAAAGCTCTGACTCTGAAGGTAGACATTTTCACCCAAATAAAAGCGGAATATGGTGCTGCCACAGCCAATAGGAAAAAGAGACTTGTCACTTCTCCTGACTGACAGTGGGGGGAGACGCCATGGGGGCTCCTGGGAGGCAGGGAAGGCAGAGGTGGGTCCTTCCCTGTTGTCCCCCAGGCCTGTGACAACACAACACGTGCTCATTACTGGAGGCATGCGTGTCGGAAACTTGCCCTGGGCCGGGTGGAGACCAGCATCTGGTCTCGGCCTGCCTTGGTGGCTTCCCTGAGCTTCCACAGTGTGTTAGCCGAGAATTAAGGGCCACTGGCCTTTTCTACATCTGTTCACATAAGAGCCATTGCCTCCACTTTAAAAAAGGAAGAGAGAGAGAATGAGAATGAGGGTGAGAGAGACAGAATGAGAAAAAGAGAGGAGGCAGAAGGGAGAGAGGAAGGGAAGGAGAGAAAGAAAGAAAGAACCTTAAGAGGTAAAAATAGTTGCAGAGGAAAACCACACTGTAGCCGTGATGGGAAAGGATGGGAAAGGGGAGCAGACACTGGGACAAAGTGCGTCAGGGAGGTGACAGCCCAGTCTGGGTGGGCACACCCCATAGGAACTCTCTGTAAGTTGGTCCACTTTCAAGAGACATTGTTTTCATCTCCATGGTTCACTTGCTTCCTATTTTGCTGGCCCTCCTATTTCCCGCAGTGTTCTGTCTCCAGTGCCCAGATGTCCCCCCAACCCCATTTGCTCCTCTGGGAGCCACCCAGCTCCAGAGAGGAGCCCCTCCTCCCAGCCTGCCAGGAGGTGGGGGCGGAGGAGGGGCCACGAGCTGGGAGTGCGTGCAGGGAGGAGGAGGGGAGAGAGAAGGTGCCCAGAAGGCTGAGATGGAAAGACCAGATTAATGGGGACATTTTTCAGAGAAAGAAAAGTGCGTGTAAGTATTTCATAAACTAACTTAGGAAGAGGCCAGTTAAGTATTGCAAACAGATTGGTTCTGTTTTCTTTCATTAGCATGGAACAAAGAGTGGTGCGAAAGACCTGGAAAACAATTTCTACAAATGAAGAAAGAGGAAGTAACATCTGGCAATGAGATGACCTTCAAAACTGAAGCTTAGGACACAAGTCTCAGAGACAGACCTTGGAAACTTGCTAGAGGCCTCCTTCCCACACATAAGTAAAAACCTTCCATCACCCCATCGAAGGTCCCAGCTGGGAAATTATTGGTAGTCTGTGGGCCACTGTGCACCCCACTTTTCCACTGAGGCGATCCCCTCCCTGACTCCATGTCATCAATCCTAGAGCACAACCTCCACCTGGAGCCAATCAGAACATCCCATCCCTTGGCCACTGCAGTTGCTCTGGAAAGCATTTACGAACCCAATGGGGCGCTTAGAGTTCTCCTCGGGACTTGCGTGTGCCCTGACAAGGAGATGGTTTCTTTCCCTTTGGGGGTTGATAGCTATGTACAGTGGCCGTCTTTCTTGCCTAAGGAGAGTGTCTAGCTGAGAATGAAGTGGATGCTCCCAGGGAGGCAGAGCTGAGAGATGGAGAAAGTGACAGAGCCCTTTCCAAGAGGCTGGGCGGCATGGTGGTGGGCGCTGGGCCCTAGAGCCTGGTGGCCGGCTCCCTGAACACGTTCATCCCTCTCAGTGCTTTCATGACCTCAGTTCTAAAGCGGGTGGCAGTTGTGGCCATCTCAGGATTGTTGTGAGGATTAAACAAATCCATTTCTAAAAATCACGTCTGGCTCCTAGTGTCTGTCTTAGAAATAAATGTTGGTCATCTTTAGTATTTATTCCCTATTATGAGACCCAGTACTCTCCCTCTGACCTCGAACCAGTATGAATTAGGTTTCGGTCACTTGCAGCCTAAAAAGTCCTGATTAGGAGAGTCTGACAAGGTTGTTAAAAGTCAGGGGCCTAAAGCTAGTTTATAGGAAAATCCTTGCAAATAGTTTATAGGTCAACCCTGGACCCCTTTATTGCCTTAGCCCCTATTCACCCTGGTCATGCCTTATCTCCCCAAAGAGATCATAAATTCCAGTGTCTCTCTTATATTTCTTTGCCTCCAACATCACTCTTAGCATGGCATCCAGCCAGAGTGGGTACTTGACATAAAGCATGAGTTGTGTTTGAACAACCTCTAATGGTCTGGAAAGTGCCGTAATGAGTATTACCCGTGTAACGCTCAGAGTGCCCCTGCAGGGGAGGAGGGCAGGTGCCGTTACTGGAACACCGCCCTAGCCCCAGGTGTTCTTTCTATCAGTCAGACCATCTGCCTCTGGGCCGTGCAAGGCAGTGCCTCTCGGCTGTGTCAGCTGGGCCCAGATCGACTCTCCGTGGCACCAAGGCCACGGCTCAGGTGGAACGTTCTCAGCACCCTGGAAACCCCAGAAGAAGTCCTCTTACCTCCCGTAGACACCTGAGCCCTCCTGGGATCTGTAAGCCCCTCCTGTCCCCTCCCCAGACCTGGGAAATTGTTCCTGAGCCTCTTGCCTCTCCCCTGCAGAGCCCCAGCTCTCCATTGCCTCCCCTCCCCTGCCCCTCGGCAGTCACCGTGTTGAGCCCTGGCTTGTGAAAGCAAAAGTCTGATCAGGGGAATTATCTTCTGCATGCCTGGAAACTTCTGGGAAGGGCCCTGCAACACAGAAGTCCCCAAGGCCAGAGATAAACAATTCAAGTTAAAAAAAAAAAAAAGAAAGACTTGGCTACTTTTTAAAGGTGGGGAGGGGAAAATAGCTAGGGCAGGGAAATTAATCAGAAATTATCTCAGTAAATTATCCTGCCACATGCAAATAAGGAGATGTTTGAGACTACCTAGGGCTACAACGCCCAGGCGAGGACCCAGGGCTCCTCACTCCCACTGAGCTCCTTTTTTACTTTTCCACAGCTGGCAAATAGCCCAAATCATTTTCAAACAGGGAGAGAGATCTACAAGAAGCCCAAGTTCAATCTGTTAGAAGTCACAGGCCAGGCTAGGGGGGAGATGGAGAAGACGCGCTTTTCTCTATTTCTCCCCCTATGCACAACTGCGAACTCTGCACTTGATACAAAACAAACAGGAGGAGGCTCTGAGGGATGGAGGGGACAAGGCAGGCTAGCCAGGGACCTCGGGACCCAAGGAACCACACACCACACTGTGGTGGAGGCAAAATAACCAACCATTCTATAGATAAGAGAGGTCGGGTGAGTTTGACTTGAACCAGAGTGAGGATTATAATCTGGGAAGGCTTTAGAAGGGGCTCCGGAGAAGCATGGCTTTCGGTACAGTCTTATATCTATTTAGAACAAAGAACATGTATTAAACACGCCCAGGATACATATTCATCAAAGATTCAAAGAGATAAGCAGTTGCAAATTAGCAGGTCAACATGACCCTGATGTCTGGAAAGGGACTAATATGGCCGTTACCAATAGGGCGTAGTAGGAGGGGAAGTATGCATCCTTATCTGAAGAGAGCGCATTCTTCACTTTAATGGATAAGCAGGTGTACAGCGCATGTTTGATAGGGCATAGGTCAGACTTCTTTAGTTCAAGTGGAATCAGTTTTGAACCCAAATAGTTACCCCGTATACCTCAGTATGTGAAAATCTCTTGTCACTGTGGTGAGGTCCCTGGGTTTTCTTTTTGCCCCATATATCCCAGACTTTCCACTGAAGAAGCCAACAAGCTGGAAATGCTGATGGGCACAAACGAACCAAAAATGCCCCAAAGGAAGAATGCTCTCTCTAGCCAAAGGAGCAACCTGGCAATACAGAAAGACTTAGACAATGGCTGTTATATTCCAGCCAAACACCACACAATAAACTGTGCCCCCTCTCCCACACACACCAGCAAAGATGAGCAGAGAGCCTAGATTTCCACCCTCCCCAGGTTGTAATGAGGCACCCAAACCTACCCTCATCCCCAGTCAAAATGGCGGCAGAGAAGGCCAAACAGAGAGGCTGGCATCCCCCATAGGCAGTAATGAGGAGCCCCTCCCTTCCTCACGGGAGTGGTGGCAGAGGAGTTCCAGTAGAGGCAGGAATTTCACCAGCACCCGGTGGTAACAAGGGCACTACACTCCCCCCAAACCATGGTGCCTTTGGAGATCATGTGAGGAGCAATAATGAGGTCTCCTATCTCTCCCAGCCAGCAAGGTGTGTGTGGTGGCCCAGTGGGGAACCAGAACTCCAACCCTTCCCAGCAGTAACAAGGAGCCCCTCCCTTGGATGTCAACAAAGGCTGAACAGGGAACCTGGACTTCTACCCTCAGCTGGCAGGAATGAGGCCTGCCCCTCCCACTTCCCCTGCCTGAGGGCTGTCAGAGGAAGCCAGCTATAACAGAAGGCTTAAAGAAGATGGACAGTCTCGTAACATAATACCAAAAATGTCCAGGTTTCCATCAAAAATCATCCAAGAACCAAGAAAATGCAATCCAGATTTTAAAAAAAAGGACTTGGTAGATGCCAACCCTGAGATGACAAAGATGTCACAATGACCTAACAAAGATTCAAAGGCAGCCTTCATAAAAACACTTCAGGGAGCAATTATGAACATGCTTGAAACAAATGAAAATATAGGAAGTCTCGGCGAAGAAATAGAAGCTATAAAGAAGAATAAAATGGAAATTCTAGAACTGAAAAGTACAATAACCAAAATAAAAAACTCAGCAGATGGGCTCAACGGCAGAATGGAGGGGAGAGAGGAAAGAATCAGTGAACTGGAAAACAGAACAAGAGAAATTATGCAATCTGAATAACAGAGAGAAAACAGGCTGGACAAAAGATGAGCAGAGCCTGAGGGACCTGTGGGACTGTCACAAAATATCTAAAGGAAGCTCTAATAGTCTCAGAAGGGGGCTGGGAGGCTGAAAAAGTACTCAAGAAAATAATGACTAAAAACTTCCTAAATCTGGCAAAAGACAGAAATCTACAGATTCAAGAAGTTGAGCAAACTCCAAACAGGATAAAGCCAAAGAAATCTACAACAAGATACACCATATTCGAACTTCTGAAAATGAAAGGCAAAGAAGGGATGTTGAAGGCAGTGAGAGAGACGCCATCTTCCCTGAAGAGGAAAAGCGATTCAAATGACAGCAGATTTCCATAGAGGCCAGAAAGAATTGGTGCAACACTTTTTCTCTTGCTGAAGGAAAAATCTGCCAACCCCATCCAGGAACGAAGGGAAAATCAACTCTCAGGTGAAGAAAAACTAAGAGAATTTGTTATCAATAGACATACTCTAAAAGAATGGCTGAAGGAAGTTCTCTAAACATAAAGAAAATGGTAGAAGGACACTTTGCATATCAGGAAGGAAGAAAGAACACTATAAGTAAAAATGAGTAAATGAAATAGACTTTCCTTCTGCTTTTGAGTTTTCCAAATTGTGTTTTATCAAACACAATTAATTATTAAAGCAAAAATTGTAATACTATCTGATGTGCTTCTGAAAGTATGTAGAGTAAATATTTAAGGCAATTATATTATAAACAAAGGGGGGTGAAGAGATGCAAAGGGAGGTAAAGTTTCTACATGCACTCAAGCTTATAAAACTATGATACCAGTAGGACAATAACTCATGTACGTGTAATAAAATACCCAGAGAAACCACTAAAAAAGCTATACAAAGAGATATACTCAAAAACACTATAGATAAATCAAAATGGAATTCTAAAAAATGTTCAAGTAACTCCTAGCAAGGCAGAAAAAAGAAATCAGGGAAATGAAAAACAGAAAATACAGAGAAAACAAAAAAAATAAAATGCATACTTAAGCTCAACCTGTCAATACTTACATTAAATGTAAATGGACTATGCCAGTTAAAAAACAGAGATTTGCCCAGTGGATTGAAAACATGTCCCAAATATACACTGTCTACAAGAAATTCGCTTCAAACATAAAGATATAGGCAGCCTAAAGGTAAAAAGATGGAAATGATGTATCATGCAAACATGACAAAAAGAAATCAGGGATGGCTATATTAATACTAAATAAAGTAGAATTCAGGCAAAGAAAATTACTAGAGGTGGAAAGGGACATTATATAATGATAAAAGGGCCAATTCTCCATGAAGGCAGCAATCCTAAATGTGTATTAACCAAACAACAAATCTGCAAAATATATGAAGCAAAAACTGATAGAACTAAAAGGAGAAATAGATAACCCTACAATTACAGCTGGATGCTTCAACAACTCTCTCTTAATAATTGTTAGAACGACTAGACAGAAAACCAGCAAAAACACAGAAGAACTCAACACCACCACTGACCAACAGGATCTAATCAATATTTATAGATCACTCGATCCAGCGACAGGAGAATACACATTCTTTTCAAATGTTCATGGGACGTAGACCAAGATAGACCACATCCTGGGCCATAAAACAAACCTTTTTAAACCTGATGAATTTAAAAGAATTAAAATTGTACAAAGCGTATTCTCTGATCCAAACAGAATCAAACTAGAAATCAGTAAAAGAAAGGAAAGAAACACTTGGAATCCAAACGACACACTTCTAAATAATCCATGAGTCAAAGAGGGAGTCTTAAGGGCAATACAAAATACAGTTAATGGAACTAAAATAAAAGTTCCATTTTCTAATCAAAATTTGTGGGACCCAGCTACAGCAGTGTGGAGAGGGAAATTTATAGCACTAAATGCATAGAAATTGGAGATGAAGTGAAGTCTCAAATCAACAATCTAAACTCCCACCTCAGGAATGCAGAAAAAGAAGAGCTAAATAAAACTAGAGAAAATAACGTAAGAGCAGAAAT